CCCCCCCCCCCCCCCCGCAACAAAATAACAAAAAGAATTGATTATTTGACACACAGCAAGCCTAGAATTATAGGACTCCGCAACAAAATAACAAAAAGAATTGATTATTTGACACACAGCAAGCCTAGAATTATAGGACTAATACACGTGATTTGGTCAACCTTAACCAATAAAAAATAATAGGGATTCCAACAGATTGTATAGTTGTAATTATGTAATTATATTAATTAGCCCAATTGTAGGTTAACATTTTTTAGCAAACTTCAATGCTAGAAATCAGTTTGAAATCTTATTATTTAATGGAGAATTCTCCAGAGGAGAACACACAATTTTCACCTCAATTTCTCTTAGTTTTACATTACAGATGATTTATGCCTTACACTTCATCTGATAAGCCTTTTAAAGTTACATTTCAAAGATGTTTTCGTAGACATTTCTTCTATATGAAAATGATTTATTTGTTTGCATTAAAACTCTAAATTTAGGGGATCGTTTTTTGACTTAACTACACACCACTTTATCTCTATAGCTCATTCATCATTTATTCATTTAACAACTAAATCAAAAAATATTCAACACTTCATTCAACTATATCAACAAGTTTTTCTTCAATAACTAACCCTCGAAGCCACACACCCAACACCTGATGCCATCCAAGCAAGGAGCTTTCTATCTCACCCACACCTAGTGCTACATAACTTGCACCCAGTGTGGCTAAGGTAGAGGCCCCTAAGACGTTGTGTCTTATGTGGTAAAGTACCACGCCCAATCCCATCTCAAGCAGAGAGTCTCTAAATAACTCACGCCCAACATCACCATATTGATGCTTGACAAAATCTAGACAGAGAGCTTTGGCTTGGTCACATTGGGCACCACTCAATTTTGGGCCTGGTGTCACCATGTCAGAGACCTCCTAAAGTTCTCATGCCCGACACCAAACCAACCCAAGACGCGTTTCTCTCCTCACGACCAATGCCACTAATCCTACAATCATTGTGATCGATATGAAGAGCCTCAAGTTAGAATGACACCCAACACCACAAAGGTGCACCCAGTGCGAAATCAGAATTCTACATATGTAAAACTTGATTTTGAGCCACAACCCGAAATCCAACAATGTTCCAACATATACAACATAAAATATCTAGTATATACATCATAATCAACTAAAAAATGTACTCAAATTCAACATGCAACAAAGATTTTACAAGGAATCAGTAATTATGGTGAACAACCCAAAAACCTAACTTCCCACATGTTTCTTACTTTGGATTCATCAACACAACCACACATAATTGAGATTTCACACTACACACAACTCAGAAATTGTTCACCAACCTTTAGTTTATACGAAACACAAAAAGTTCTAGCTTCCCTTATCTCGTGTAGCTTGGGACTGAGGTAGAAGAGAAGAAAGATTAAGACTTCGCAACACTACTCTCGCGAATCAACCACAAGAATCCAGCTACTCCTGACCTTCTCTCTAGAATGTTCTCTCTAGAATCCTCTCACTAGACTTTAGAGGGAAAAGAGTTTATAAAGCTATGTTCATAATAGAAACCTTAAATATTCTTTCCTCCAAGGTCAAACTGGATCTCTGCCTAGAGAAACCATCCAACACTACAGAAATTCTTAAAGGATCCTTAAATCCAAAGTCTCTCCACACTATTTAATAACTCAACTTAACAATGTAAAATGACTAAGAATAATTATAACAATATCACAATTTATAATGTTACAATAGAGACCCTTTTAAATATAAAAAAACATAAATTTATGTATTATTTTATTCATTTAATAATTTATTAATATTAGATTTAAGTTTAAAAACACGCATGCATACACACACATTTATTTTTTTAAAAAGTTTATTAGCCTTAAAAATGCATAAATAAATTAAAAATTTTCAACATGTTAATATGTTAAAAAAGAAAATTAATTAAAAAACTCTATTAGCCTTAAAAATGCATAAATAAATTAAAATTTTTCAAAATTTTAATATGTTAAAAAATTAAATTAATTAAACTTTGTTTACAAAAAAAAATTAAATAGGATTGCTATGCCCAGGGGCGCGCTCTACCAATGAGCTAATAGCCCGTCGTGCGGGCCTCCCGCCGGGGCCTGCTATGCCAAAAGCAAGAGAAACCCCATCCCTCTCTTTCCTTTTTTCACCCCCCATGTGGCGACATGGGGGTGAAAAAAGGAGCTCCTATCAACTTGTTCTGACCTAGGATAATACGCTCATGAGTTTAGTCTTATTTCACCGTCGAGAAACGAAAGAAGACTTCCATCTCCAAATTTGACTCAGACATAACTCGCTTCTTTTTGGGTGTGAAGCAGTGTCAAACTAAACTACCCAACAAGCGTTAGCTCTCCCTGAAAAGGAGGTGATCCAGCCGCACCTTCCAGTACGGCTACCTTGTTACGGGGTGTGAAGCAGTGTCAAACTAAACTACCCAACAAGCGTTAGCTCTCCCTGAAAAGGAGGTCACCCAGCCGCCCCTTCCAGTACGACTACCTTGTTACGACTTCACTCCAGTCACTAGCCCTGCCTTCGACATCCCCCTCCTTGCGGTTAAGGTAACGACTTCGGGCATGGCCAGCTCCCATAGTGTGACGGGCGGTGTGTACAAGGCCAGGGAACGAATTCACCGCCATATGGCTGACCGACGATAACAACCCTTTTAAATATTAAAAAAATTATCTAATATGTGACAATTTAAAAAAAATCAAAATGTTAATATGTTAAAAAATTAAATTAATTAAACTTTGTTTACAAAAAAAAAAAAAAAATAGGATCGCTATGCTCCGTAGCGACCTTTTAAAATATTAAAAAAAAATGATTTGTAACAATTTAACAAAAAAGTTTCAAAATGTTAATATATTTAAAAAATTAAATTAATTAAACCTTGTTTAAAAAAATTAAATGGGATCACTATGTCCCATAGCGACTCCTTTAAATATTAAAAAAATCTGTGATCTTTAACAATTTTTAAAAAAATTATTATTTTTTATTTGGATTGCAACAAGTTCTAATGTACCCAGAAAAAAAAAAACTCACTTTGTGTTACTACACCCAATAGCAACTTAAATTGGGTTGCTACCAACTATAGTGACCTTTGCTTCATGGCTTATATATATATATAAAAAGTGGCATATGAGTTTTTATAAGCCATAATGACTCTACGGTAAATAATCTCAAAGGTGTAAATTATTTAAAATAGTCATTTAAGTAATTTGTTTCTAAATTGACCTTACAATGATCAATCAACCATATTCATTTTGTACTCAATTTTATGTGTATGAATATTTATTAAGTGAATACTCACATATTTTTTCAATATCTGTAAGTGTTTGTGTGTGTCCATGGATATTTATTTAAAAACACAAATATTTTAATAATAATTTTTATTTATTCTAATAATTTCTTTAAAAATAATAGTTTAGATGTCAAACTTTAATTATTCAAATATAATGCACACTTTCATTTATCAATATTATTCAATTTAAAAACTAAATTCAGTTGTTAAAATACTTCATTCTAATAAATTTAAATAAATTTAATATATAATTATATATTTAAATATTAGCGGATATGTATGAGTACAAATACTATGATATTTGTGTCCTGTTAAAATGAAGTATAAAATGTATCTGTACTCATTGTCAACAAATACTAATTTACAATATTTATTTTTTACTCGTAATAAATTTTATATATATATATATTTTATAATAAAATTAACGTAACAAAATTTAATTATTATCTAAACTTGAGCTTTTTATAGGCTACGTAGGTTTGGTTTGAAAATATTAATGTTAAATAATTGAGAGGAAAGTATTTAAAATTAATCATCTAAAGATTATATTTATAATAAAGAAGTCAAAGGATAAAATAAGACTTAATCTAAATAACTAAGTCAATAAGATCAAATTCAATTAAAATATATTCTGGATAAAAATTAAGTTAATTTATTATAATTTATAAACCTTAACAAAATATACAATTTCAAAATGACATCAATAGCATGTTCGGAACTGAAATTCTAGATTCAAGTTTTTTTTTTATTGACAAAAATAACTGTTTGTAAAACAAATTGTATGTTTGACAAAAGTATCCGAACAAAATCAATTATTTCAAAATCCTTTTACATCAAATTTATCCCAACAAAAATTTATTAAGATTATAATTGATTATACATTAATTAATTATTAAAATAATTTAATCTTTACACCATCCCAAATATATCCTTAAATCGCATAATATCCTGTTCAATCATGATGTAGCTGATCAATTTGGTTTTTGCTTATTCAAGGCTTGGTCCCACCTTAGTAGTTGCTGCCAATACTTGTTGTAAAGCTTCCTTAGCTCTTCTTGTCCTTGTCATAGGTCTTCCAAGTCCTTCAAGTGCTTCAAGCTCTTTTTTCTTGGTCAGGTCTGTTGAGATTTCCGTTGAAACACTTTTGTTAATATT